ATAGAAATCGTCACATCAATCGATTCTAATTCAACCACAAACGAGAGTAAAGATCAACCATGCACTCAACCCTCAACAATTAACATGATGCCATCAAATACTACTGTCGATCGTTCCACAGCGTTAGGCAACGCTGCCAACGGCTATTATGAGAAAATCAACTATGAACTGGCCATGCAATATTGCAAAAAAGCATTAGAATCATCTAGTTATGAACGATATCATCATTACTATCAAAAGATGATTTTAACTATCAAAAAATGTTTAGAGAAAACTGTGATTGATGTGCCAAAAAACTAAGCTCCTTTTTTATGAATTTTTTCAACCATTTTAGAATTTTTAAAACTTGTTTTAGATTATTTTTTAACATATTTATATCAATGGTTATATCAAGTTGTAAAAAATCGTTTATCGGTATTTGGTTTCATGATAAAAGTTTATCAGATGATCAACAAGACAAAATAAAACTTTATTTGAATCGAACGTTTTATTATTATTGGGTTTTCACAGACGAAATCAAGTTTGCTCAATATATTACTAAAAAACCACTTGTTGTCAAAGTATTCCTTATTATCTCGCATGTAAAATTACATAATTCAACAATGCAGCTGGTGGAAACACACAAAATATTCTTTCCAAAAATCTATGTTTTCTTGAGGGTGTGGGTGTGGGTGTGGGTGTGGGTGGGGTGTGGGTGCGGATGTGGGTGCGGTTGTGCATGTCGGTGTGAATGACAGTAGCAACACCCACATCCACACCCACACCCACGTCCACACCACACACCCACAGCCCACACACCCACAGCCCACACACCCACACCCTGCAAGTGTGGACGTGGGTGTGGAGATGGGTGTGAGGTATGGGTCTAGGTCTTCTGTTCATTTAGACCCAGACCCAGACCCAGACCCGGCACCCAACACCCACATCCACACCTAAATTCACACTCACACTCACACATCCATCGCACATCCACACTTGAATCTAATCACGCATGAAAAATGATGAGAAAAATAAGTTTGAACATTTATTTTAGTACTTCAAGTATTGGGGTAGCACCCTGTACCATCGTGGCTGTTATTTGCATAATAAGATTGGTTTAGTTGAGTAGAAAAAAGAATAATATTATTATAAATTCCAACAGCAATAAAAACAGCACAATCTGGTTACTTCCTTTTTATTAATGTGGAGTATTGCGATGTTCGTGTACAGCCCCCTTCTTACCGAAGCTTGTATATAAGACCGAGTGTAAGCTCCTCTGTATTAAAGATTTGTTATATTTTGTTTGGGGTAAATATTCAGAAAGGCGTAGAATATTGATATTAAGTAATCATTATGAGACTTGATAATATTAAGTCTATTTTTTTATTAATATCAGTTACCATTGTAATTGTTAATGGTACCTTTATAGTACATGATTTTAATGGCAACGTTCTTAACTCAATTGAACCAGAACTCTTAAAGCGTATTCATCAAGATTTAATAAAGAGAGATCGTCATCAAAATGCAACAGATTTATTATCCACGTATAATATGACAAGTGGTAATTTGTTTAGTAATCTGTCAACAAGTCTAATATCACATCAACTACAAAAGCGATCGACCTATACAATAACTATTGATGCGCATATTGAAAATATCGGTTGGTCAAACAATTATCAATTGGGACAAGTAGTCGGAACAGAAGGACGATCATTACGATTGGAAGCTTATCGTATTAACTCAAATCCTTACACATCAGCAATATCATACCGATCACATGTAGAAGATGTTGGGTGGCTAAATTATGTCAATACAAATGAAATTTCTGGCACGACAGGACAATCTCGTCGTCTTGAAGCATTACAAATTAACATTCAACCAAGTATTGCTCAAAATTTTTATTATCGTTGTCATTTACAAAATATTGGTTGGACCGGCTGGGTAGGAAATAATGAAGTGTGTGGAACAACTGGTCAACATCGACGATTAGAAGCTTTTGTTTTAAATATGTTAGTTTTCTAATTAGTCTACTTTTAACCATCATGACAATATTAATTTATTCTCTTTTATGAAATTAAGAGTGTGGGTGTGGGTGTGTGGGTGTGGGTGTGTGGGTGTGGGTGGGTGGGTGTGGATATGAGTGTGGGTGTGTGGGTGTGGGTGGGTGGATGTGGGTGAGTGTGGATGTGGGTATCGGTAGACATGCACCGAAAACAAACTCGAGTTCGGAGTTCGGACCGAACGGTTCGGGTTCGGTTTCAGCGTTCGGGTTCGAGTTCGGGTTCGGGTTCGGGTTCGGGTTCGGGTTCGGGTTCGGGTTCCGGTTCGGTTTCAGGGTTCGAGTTCAGTTTGAGATTTCTGCATTAGGAGCGTGAATTGATTGTTATTGTTATTAATAACAATATCTCTCTTTGCTATTTGTTATAAATAACACAAAAATAGCAAGTACCTTTTTTTTCTGAAGAACCTCCAACTATGGATGGAAAGTTGCCGTTACATTACCAGTTACCCTGGAATAGGGGTAACAGTCAGGTATGTGTCTCTCATCACCAAACTCGTAGTCTTGGGTCCTCAAGTTCGATTATTCGAGAGCACCTTTGGAGCCTTAATTTCTATTATTCGGCCGTACCCTAGATTCTCAAGTTCCGTTATCCGTGGGCATTCATGGGTCCTCAAGTCCTACTGTTGTGGGTATTCTTAGTTCCTCAAAATCTACTATAGAGGGGTACCCTAAGGTCCTTAAGTCCTACTATTGGGGGTGCTCTGGAGTCCTCACGTCTTACTATAGCGAGATACCTTTAAGTCCTCAAGTTCTACTATTGAGAATACCTTTGGGTTCTCAAGTCGTATTATAGAGGAGGTACCCTTAGTTCCTCAAGTCCTACTATTAGGGGTACCCTTAGATCCTGAAGTCTTACCATAGTGGAATACTTTGGACCCTGAACTAGTATTGCGCGGCAGTCTGAGACTCTCAATCAGTACACTCGATTCCTTCAGATGATCAATTTCTACTAAATGCGAAGCGAACTGCTAGCTGCTCAATCACCACTGCAAAGAACTGCTGTGGGAGTTTGAGGACACCACATTGTGTATATGTTGACAGCATAGTGGAAGTCACCCACCAATCGGTACTCTACATGACTTTTTTGCTGGGTATGAGTGTCATGAGCCTGTACTGGGTGTGTCTGGCTCGTGGTGAGTCTTACGACATCACTGTAAAAAAAGCGTCGATCAATCAACGCTTGCCCTTAACTTTTTTTCATAAACCTTTGAAGGGTTTGAGCATTCATCCTATTCCGCTAAGTTGAACATTCCGGAACCAGTTCCGACCCCGGAATAGTTTGGGTGTGGGTGTGGGTGTGGGTGTGGGTGTGGGTGTGGGTGTGGGTGTGGGTGTGGGTGTGGGCGTGGGTGTGGGTGTGGGTGTGGGTGTGGGTGGGGGTGTGGGTGAGTGTGGTTAGCTTGTCATCACCCACACCCACATCCACACCCATACCCACACCCACACCCACCCACCCACACCCACACCCTTATTTGCAAGCAATTTTCTTGACAACGTTTGATAATTTTTGAGTTTCGAGTAATAATATTAACCGTTTCACCACGATATGAGCCATCGGTGGCTCACGATATATCTTAACCAGAAGAATGATGAAAAAGTAGATTTTCTTCTTTTTTTTAAATAGGAAGAGATAGTTAGTTATAGAGTTACTCCATCTTTGTCACGGGTTGATCTATTTTATTATTTAGAGGAATGTTTTTCATTAAAACAATCAAGACAGAAGAATTTGTTGCAGTCAGGACAGAAAGCTTTTATTCTCTTTGCTGCCGTCGCACTTGCTTCTCTTGATTGTTGTTGTCTAATCTTCTCATAGCAACTAGCACATCGTCTTCGGACATCACGAGCAGATCCTTCCATTTCTTCAAGCTTGTGATCCGCCAGCTTGTGTTTCGTTTGGCTTGTTGAACGTTCTCTTGGACCAGGCTTTAGATTCTCGTATGGGACACCAAGAAGTAAATATCGCACAAGACTTTCACGAAACTGTAGCATTGTCATACGGCTTGTGTCATAATTTTCTTTGTAAATCAAATAAGCATTCACTGTCGACATTTCGAATATCATTTCAAATGCCACCTTTTGATACCACGTTTTAGATCGTCTGAGACATGTGTAGTGTGCCGATAGTTGATCTGATAAATCTATACATTGTTTTCCTTTGTTGTAATCGACAATAACTTGTGGCTTCATGATGCGTTCATTTGTTTTATTGATTTTTCTGGTCTCGACTAAAGTGGTTGAATGAGATGACTTTGTGGATATCATCAAAAAATCTCTTTTATCTTTCCACTCGATTAGTTTTATACCATTGTTGCTCTGAAGTCCATAAACTTCACCACGCTTGAGCTTTTTCTGGACCACTTCATATCCTGATCCAGCCCGATTACTTCTCAATATTCCAATAAGATAAGTATCATTCCGCAATAAACTTTTTGCTAGAGCCATACTTGCAAAGAAGTTATCAACTACTACAGTTCGATGACATCCCAAAAGATCATCTGCCAAATCGATTACGACAGTTGGATCATGGTTACTAGTATAAACCATAAAATTCCACGTGTATCCATTAGTAGCTACTAGCTTGTATATCTTTACGCCATATTTATGTGCTTTTGCAGGAATATATTGTTTGAACAAAAGTTTCCCCTTCCATGATACCATTGTTTCGTTGATGGAAATAATTGAGCCAGGAATATAAATTGACTTAAATCTAGCTTTCAATAAATGTAAAAGTGGTTTCAATTTGAACAATTTGTCTTGATCTGCATGCGCTTTTTGGTTGTTCGAAAGATGATAAAACTTGAGAAGTAATTCAAATCTATCTCTCGACATTGTATTTTGAATGACTTCAGATCCAAACAACTTGCTTTTGCTTCAGTAGTACTCTATTTCCGGCATTTGCACCAATTCCATCTCAATAATAATTCCCAAAAATTGGAGCATTTCTTCATTAGTAGTTGGTTTCCATTGAAGAGTTTTCGATCGTTTGAATGAAATATCGATAGCAATCGATAGGATTGATCGTACTATCTTCCGAACTTGTCAGTACTTCTTCGACCATTCCATGATCATCCAAAAACTCAGCATCCGATTCTGATTCTATTTCACCCCACACTTGTGAATCCACATCATCGTCCATAGCTTGTTCATCGGAGTTCGACGATTCAAATTGTATTCTAGCAAAATCATCATTCAAAGAACTTACATCATACCACTATGCTCTGTGTCGATTTTTTCAGACGACATGTAAATCACCGCAAAATTTCAGTTATTTTTATGTAAGTTTTGTGTATAGTTAGTGGAAGTGAAATCAGTTTATTGGAATATATATATATATATATATAGAGAGAGAGAAGTATAGAACAGAAAAGAGAAAATGCACGTGGATAACCTGAACGTATACGAAGAACAGAGAAAAATAGTGTGTATTTTTTATACATATCAACAGAACGAAAGTGAAGAAAAATAGACTATCTACCTATGTGATTATGTCATATAATAGCGATGACACTAAGAGACGACGGGAATGAGGTCATAATACCACCTAACAGAGTCAAACATAATGTTACAAAAAGAATGTGAAAGACGAAAATTGAAATTTTATTTCTTTTTTTCATTCCTACTGTATAATACATGTAACAGAGAGAAAAACAAACTTGAGTGATTATTCGATTCGACGCGAAAGAAGACCTCTTATACGATGATACAAACAACAGAAAGAAAAACAAATAGCTGCACAGACGGAAAATATCAATGAGCATATTTTTCAAGCGCGAACATGCATGAAAATTAATATGTTGAAGTTATTTTCCTCGGAAAACCGAATCGCGGTGAAAGGGTTAATAAAAAACGAACTCTTATAGGCACTGCAGTTTTATATGCTCTATCAAACAAAATCAATTATTGGCTACAATGGAACTCCTTCGAGAATTCTTGCAAATGCGATCGAAAATCTATAGAATGAGAAAGAGCGAAAAAGATTTTCTCTTTTTTCGAAAGCAGCTTATTCTTCGAATATAGGATGACGGAAATCTTCAAAAGTTTTTCGAAAAAAACAAGATGTCGAGTAAAAATTTTTATCGCTAGTGAGAGATCAGATCACAGACTCCCTTTCCCTGCATTCGTCTTAATTTCGGTCATTCTGACGAAAAATGACTTTTTTGAGGGAGCATAGCTATAAATAAATTAATAGTTGCTTTTCGTTTTGCTGTTAATATAATTTACAAAAAAAGAAAAACAGATTATTAAGTTTAAAATAATATTTACTGCTCATTGTGCGATCGTAACTGATATAATTATTCAAATAAATTCTTTTATACAAAGAAAGTTATTTAGCGTTGAACACGACAAATATACGATCGTATACGACCATCATAAATCGTCGTATTCCTTTTGTGTACGTTCGTTTACGATCGGGCTTTTTCAATCTAGGTATACATGATATCCTCACTATACTAACTTTGCAAATGGATGATATGAAGTAGCTATACGCCTAGATACGTATGAGTCTGAAGGAAACGACACATCTCTTTTTCGAATACGGAAACTGTATTAGAGTCGAAAAGGCGCACCCACTCATCACTATAAACAAAGGCACAATGTTGACTTTAGTCATGATAATAGTTTATGCATTATTGATGCTTTAGATTTCGTGCTACACTTCTATGAATGTTATATTTTTGTGTTTGAATTAATTACAATAGAGCAAACTACAAAAATCTTGATCAAATCAATTCACGAATAGAAAACCAGATAAAATAGATGGTCAAATCGATGTTTGCTTAAATAATCCATTAAAGACACATCTCTTGAGAAAAGGAAGATAATTTTTTTTTCGTATTCAAAAGCTTTCATTATTATATAAGAACTAGAATAAAAATGTGCATAAAAATATTTTAAACTTTCATTTCAGTCATTAGTTTCACTCTCACATAAATGTTTTAAGTGCAGCAGCTAGCTACTA